GAAAACAGCTGTTATGTGTTAATATATATTATCTTAAAAAACTTACTTGCCAAGTAAAACATGTTTTACATTGAAAAGTCAGGTATAGTCAGAATTAGTACAGATCAATCAGGAAAGTCTGAGGAGGTAAATAAAAATGTAATAAGCCTAGACTGAGATGCTGAACCGTCTCTGTGAGTCTTCTGCACTCCTTTGCTGACTTATGTCTACTGGATTTTCACAGGACTTGGTCTTAGGCCCTCCTCACTTCTCCATTGCTTTCTCAGATGACCTTGTTCTTTTCCCAGTTGTTTTGCTACCAGGTATTAGCTGACATTTCTCTCTCCTCCTGAACTTTCTTCTTAGCCTGAGATTAGTATTTCCAAATGCCTACCAGGCACTTCCACTTGAATGTCTTTAAAGGCTTCTCAAATTTAAAATGACTTAAAAAAGACACACTTTTGACCTATTTTTGCTGAGTTTCCATTTCAGTCTATTTTAACCCCCATCCTTCTCATCTGAGTATTACCTGTATCTGTTTGCTCAATTGCTTGAAGCTGGAAAATTAGTAGTTATTTTTGACACTTTTACTCTGTCCTTACATCTGTCTCTGTCATCCTATATCTCTAATCTTTATAAAGTCTTTGACTCTGGTGCCAAAATAGATTGGAATGTGTCTGTCTTTCCCCAAGAGACATTGTTCACCATTTTTGTCACTGAACTACTGGAGTGGGTCCCTAACTCTTCCCCTTCCAGCTTTGTGCTCATTGTTTCTCTCCCTCTCTTCCTCTTTTCATTCTTGGCCCTGTTCCTATTCTTCAGTGTCTTTCCCCTCCCCTGTTAAAATCGTCTTCCTTTTCTCCCATGTTTCTCTTCCCCTGCACAGCTCTTTTGGAACTTGAAATTAGATTATTTACACTCCCTTGGCTTAATCTCTTCTGTGGTATCTCTCTGCATTTAGAGTAACATTGAATTCCCTTGGCATGGCTGTGTACCAGGCCACTGCCCAATTCTTCAACCTTTCCGGCATATCTACCCACCATGCCTCAGCCACATTAGCTTTTCTTCCAGTCGTATAATGTGCCAAACTCTTTCTTTGTTCAGTTTTTTTCAAAAATTATTCTGCTTGTGCAGAAACCTTTCTTCTCGCTAATGCCTACCTTTCTTCAAAGTCATTTCCTTCTAAATCCCAGATATTTCTTTCCTTCAAAGCAGTTATCATGTGACATTGTGTGTATATTTGTTCTTTTCAATCTTCTTTATTGGCTTAAGTCCCTGAGTACAGTCACTTGTTAGTTGTGTTGGTCACCATCTCTCTTTACGCATAGTGCTTAATCTAGTAAAGGATCTGAAAAAAATGCTTGCTGAATAAATGAATGGATGTCTGCCACATGAAAAGGTGTATGATCTGAATAATGGCATAGCCAGAGACATGATCAAAACTGACCGGAAGGACAGTGAGGAGATAGAGTGAAGTGAAGGACCTATGTTAGATAAATTTTAGAAGACTTTCATTCTAGCAAAGAAAATTGTGAGTTACAAATTCATTTCTAAGCATCCTCACAAGTTGCTAAAGGGTTTTTAAAAGCTTTTTCTTCCACACATGACTGTTTATTTTTCTGTTAGTAACTAGGATGATTTCCAAATTATTTTCAATGATTTGAGTTTGAATAGACTCTTTTTATTTTCTTACTGGTATTAAATGAGCTTTAATTATGTGCCACCTTGTGCTCATTCCACCATATTCTAATACTGACCATGCAACTAATTTTAAAGTCTAGCAGTACACTTGCTATATAGTATCTTATTTAATCTTTGCAACCACCATGTGAGGGAAGTGACAGCATCAACTTCATAGATGGGAACATTGTGCTTGAAACTTACTATCCACAGCTAATATGTGCCAAAACCAAAATTCAAGCCAGGTCCCCCTGCTACTTTAGACTGCTGCAGTGGTGCCTTTGTGTTGAGTTATTCTAGTACTGGCTTTGAGAAAGAGCTTATATTTGGTATGCATATAATATTTTCATATTTTTATTAGGCAATAAGGAAATATTTAACTCAAAATTTTAAAGCTAAGAAATTTTCTGGACAAAAGAGAGATTATTTTAATTTTCTGAATGTAGCATTAAAATGATGAAATGATTTTTGACCTAGAGAGATCCTGGACAAGTATAATAACACCTGCGTTTTTACCACTTCTCTTGAAAGACAATTGAAAGGCATCTATTTTCCTTCCAGTATCATCTTCCTTCTGCCCCTTTGCAGTAGTCACACTGTCCCAGCTTTGGCATTTATCACGCTTCTGCAGCTCATGTTCCTTGACAGTAATCTGCTGAGTGCTGAATGTATGTGGTCTGGTGGTGGTAAATGTAACTACTTTTCTGAAGAAACTTAATTCTTTGCTAATTTTTCCCTCTTTTCCAAATTTGTATTGGACCAAGCATGCCAACCTGTGATCCTTCCCCCCGTCTTCCCTCCATACACTATCATCTGGGTAAGGAGTAGAAACGCATTCAGCTTCAGAACTTTGGCAGTTGGGACGGAGTCAGTTAAATAGGTTGACATTTGTTCCCATTTGTTCCCATCGTGATGTAAAGTCATATTGGTATGAACAGCCTTGCCACAAATGAACTAAGGATCTCATAATAAGACAAGTAGGCTAGACCCAAGTTCTATTCAAATTTCAAGTGGATGAGTACCTTTAGTGTTTCTAGAAACATGTTCCCTCTACTGTTATTTAGTTTTTGAGAGGTGTGTGTGGTGCCAGGGATCAAATCCAGGGCCTTACACTTGCAGGGCAGGTGCTCTGCCTCTGGGTTATATCCATGACTAGATTTTTGCTAGATTAGAAAAGTTAATATCTTTATCTCTGATCTTGGAGTAAACCCCTTATTTTATAAAAGGATTTGTTTGGATTTAGTTACACAAGAGATTTTTTTTTTTTTTTGCCAAATCTAAGAGAAAATACTTTCTGATTGGCAGAATTGAAGTGGACTTGTGGAAAGCACAGAAAGATCGAAACAAAAATTAAAGTTACTAAGTTGCTAGTGGAGATGTGACTCCAAAGGTGGATTGACTAGTGTCCTGGATGAGGACAGGAGGGTTGAGACTTTTTAGGGAGGGTTGAGACTTTTTAGGGAGCAGAGGAAAAGAGGAGAATAAGTGAAATGAGTAAGAAGAGAGCATTATAATTGTGATGTGGATTGGAGTTAACTGTAGAAAAGAAACTGTCCTTGGAATTAAATGCCTAAAACATAAAGATGATTTATAAAGAGAATAGTGAATGAATAGCTCACTCTTTAGTTTGGGTACACAATGAATATTCATTCATTGATACAACCTCATCAGTGTACAGAATTTTCCGATGAAAGTAGGTATTTGATCGTTCCTTATACATGGGAATGGGTTATATCTTATCTGAGTGCTGTTTTATTGCATAACTTCTTTTTAAGATAATCTAGATGGTTGTATTTCTGTCATCTTAATAGTAGTTTTTTCTGTTACTAGAGAATGATTAGAAAAATGCCTAACTCTTCTGGTTAAAGTTCAAGTCACTGAAGGTTTTGCACAAATTCATTTCTTTCATAAAACTAATTTTGTTGAATTTTTCATAAAAAGTGCAACTACTAAACATTCTTGTGATAGCTTCTTTGTGAATATGTCACTGTTCTTGATTTGCACACGCCTTATAATTTAGGCCTCCTTTTGTTTGTGGTTGGCAGCTCCAACTGTTAAAGCCCTTGTCTGATGATGTGGGACTCCTTCGTTTAATGGGAGCAGCTTCTTTGCTGCATTTTTGAAAACTGGTCTCGGAAGCTTCTCAACTGTGGATCTTTGTTGGGTACAAAGGATTATTTATGCTAAAGGAAAATGTATTCTCCACTGAATTAGCTCGTGGGAAGCATAACAAGCTCATTAGTAATGCACGATTGTACTTTGGCCTTTTGGTATGGTAGAGAGATGGGACAAAAGACATCAAAAAGAACATTCTGCTGTCCTTTGCCTTCCTGCAAAGAAAATATGATGTGCTATCCAACTTTTCACTAAGGTTTACTCAAGTTCAACTTTAGTACCCGAAGAAATGTTCTGGTGATATGTGTAGTTGGTTCTTTGCATGAGGTATGTTGAGTACAGCCTAGAGGAGAAAATAACTTCCTTGGAAGGTGAAAGATAACTTTATAGCCTTATTATAAAGCATTTGTAAATTTTCTTAGCGTGATTTAGAGGTGATTTGCAATAGAAACAAGCTTGACTAATACATAATGCTGCCATTAACAACAAAACTCTTAGGTTTTCTATATTCTGTATTATTAATGTTTCTAAATGTTTCACAATTTTAAACTCTGAAACTCCATTAAAGAATTATATTAATATTGCTAATTAAGGTGGTATGTTTTTATACATATTAAGAATAGTACATTGGAGCTAAAATTGTACTTCCTTTTGCTTTTGTCTTTGTGTTTTGCCTTATGGAGGAAGTTAACATGAAAAATGATTATAGAAAGACATTGTTATTTCCTAGTTCAAGTTGTTTATCATTTTTACCTTGTTTAGCATAAGCAGCTTATGTTTAAGCTTGTGAAGTATATGAAGACCAGATGAACTTACATGATTTTCTTGTAAAGATTAGATAAGCGATACATAACAGTGTCAGTTGTGATATATGTATTTATATTTACATTTTGATTATAAGAGAAACTACAAGAGGTTTTTATATGAGCTAGGTTTTATTTATTTCATTTTGCTAGCAAGATGCTTCAGGAATTCCTTTGATACTTGTGCCAGAGACCACATATTAAAATGTGTTTCAGGCTTTTTTCTTTCCATTGAACTTTTTTATGAAGAAGCTGTCAGTAATTATTGAATATTCACTTAGTCAGGTTATTCCAACTAGAAGGTAGGTAAGGTAGGTTTAGGTTTTCAGTTAAATAGAGGAGAGCAGCTTCCTGTTATTTGAGGGTGTATGGGGAGTTAGAAATCTACCAATGTCTGCATATTTATATTTTTTCTGTTTTCAGAAAAGGTGTTTCATTTCCATATTGATGACCATGCAGCCTGCAATTCAAGTAAGTGATTTTCCTAGAAAAATATTTTTTAAATAATGAGGTTAATATAACCAAATTATAATTAGTAAAATACCAATTTTTGTGGTTTTTTTTCTTAGTGCAATTTAGTATGTATTTGTAAGCATTTAATTGTAAGAGCTCTCAGAACAGATATAAATTATTTTTATGTGCACGTGCAATGTAGATAGCCAAACAGTAAAAACTTAGATCTTTCTACTTAGTCTGGTTCAGATGAGGATAATGAGATAAAGCAAAATGATCCAAAATTTCTAGTATTTGCTGAACACTTCTTATATCCTTTTACATTTTCTTTCCTTTGATAGAAATAGAATATGATTAAATATTAAAAATTAAAAAATACATTGTAGGATGGCTTTCCTAGAAAGATACAAATAGCTGATAATAAAATTTGTCTAGGAACCTAAGGGTAGTAGATACATGGGACAGGTAGATTGCTCCATAGCTGGAAGCCTGCCTCATGAGCAAAAGGGAGAAGGCAGCTGGAATAGAGAAGGGATCACTAAGAAAATGATGGCTTGAGGAACCCGTCCGGATTGGAGTTGTGTGCAGAAAGTAGATAAAGGACCAAACATGATAACCTCTCAGTATCTGTATTGCAGACCATAATGCCCAAAAGTAGTGAGAGAGTATGGAAAATATTGTCTGCCATGGAGGCAGGGGGAGTGTGGGAAAGTGGGGGTGTACCAGGGATGTTGGTGGTGGGGAATGTGCACTGGTGGAGGCATGGGTGTTTGATCATTGTGTGATTGTAACCCAAACCTGAAAGCTTGTAACTATCTCACGGTGATTCAATAAAATTTAAAAAAAAATAAATAAATAAAATTTGTCTAGGAAAGCGAGAACTTTAGTCAGATTTCTTTTTCTTTTTTTTTTTTTTTTGCGGTTTTTTTTTGGGGGGGTGACACCCGGCGATGCTCAGGGGTTACTCCTGGCTTTGCACTCAGGAATCACTCTTGGCAGTGCTCAGGGGACCATATGAGGTGCTGGGAACCAAACCCGGGTCGGCCACGTGCAAGGCAAACGCCCTACCCGCTCTGCTATTGCTCCAGCCCCCAGTCAGATTTCTTTTCTTCTGCTAGTTCTGTCACTTTAGTGTGAGAATCGGGCAAGGTATTTTACCTGTCAAGAGTCTCAGTGCTCTCACTGCTATAAAGGTCAAAGACTGCTGTTTCACAGAATAGATGTGAGGAATCAATGAGATTAGGGGCACTCGATTGCATAGTGGACACTTCAAAACTTTCATACAACACAAAGATCCAGGTATAAAATAGGAGGTCAAGCCTGTGTCATGATTATCATTTTTCAAATGCAAAATGATATTATTAAGATAACAGTATCTTTACTAAGAGAGTCTAAAGAGAATTTATCTGCTAGTTAAGAACAAGTCTGCATGTGACTGCATGTGCGCCTTCCTGCGCTGTGCAGCTGTGTCCCCTCGACAAACAGAGTTCTGTTAGGCTGTTTTCCTCCGAGACTCTGGAGCCGGTGGCAGTCTCCCAAAAGGTCTGATTCCTCCCCTTTTGGGTCCTTTCAAGTCTGCATTTGTTATTCAGAACTGTTTATAAAATCTGAAACTTCTGTGCTTTCTCTCTTTATTCTGGTCTCAGAAATGTCCTCAGTTTCTTGTTGATTTTTTTTTTTTTTGCTGCTTTTTAGAACCCTTTTTTTTTAATAATTGCCTTCTGGGCTGCTTTTGTTTCCACATCTCTACTTATCACCATTAATATTTTCTTAATCTGGTGATTGCTTTCATAGTTTTACTTGATATTTCCATGAGGCCTTCCCCAGTCTAGAGTCCATACAAATATTCTCCCTCGATATCTCTTGGACTTTTCCCTGATAAATGTGAGAAGTTTTCAACATATTCACCTTTCTCTTCTAACTATATTAGTCAGGTACTTGAAAACTGTCAGAGACACCAGTAACTAGCCATTACCAATTGGTTTGTTGAGCCTGGCAAGCTACCGAGAGTATCTCACCCACACAGCAAAGCCTGGCAAGCTACCTGTGACGTATTCAGTATGCCAAAAACAGTAACAAGAGGACTCATAATTTGTTGTGAGACGTTACTGATGCCCGCTCGAGCAAATCGATGAACAACGGGAGGACAGTGCTACAGTACTTTTGCTTTTTGGGTCATACCTGGCACTGCACAGGGGTTCGTGGTTCATGTACTCAGGAATTATTCCTGGCGGTGCCTGGGGGACCATATGGGATGCTGGGAATCGAACCCGGGTTGGCTGTGTGCAAAGCAAACACCCTACCCGCTGTGCTATCACTCCAGCCCCTGCTTTCTTATTAATTTAATGCATAAGATTTCTTTCACTCTTTTTCATAACTCAGTACTTGATGAACAATAGTTCCTAACCACTTGGTTCTGTTGGGAAACTGAAAAAAGAACTGATTTTTTTTTTCTGAGAAAAAGCCCTTTTGTACAAAGGCATAAAATTTTGCCTAACTGTAAGTTTATATACCTGCTCAGCTTCATCTCTAAACTGCCTAGAAATTATAAATCTGCAGTATTAAGGCTTTTAGCATGCTTCAGAACAACTGTTATAAATTAAGCTTTTTGTTATTAACATCAAACTTTAAATAGCATTAATGTGTAACTGATTAGTTCAGGCTATAATAGTTTTCTATTTGTAATAATAGGAAAGTCCTGAATTGGCAAGAAATTAGAATGGCCTTTGTCAATACCATTTTCTTCCTTTTTACATGTAATTTAAAAAAAAAAACTACCCTCCTAATTAATACACATCTCTCTCTGACAAGCATTTACATCTATTATATTATGTATGGCCTGTATTTCATCTTTAAATATTGGGGAAGCTCATACTAACTTCTAAGACGTTTCTTATCCATTCACCTGCTTGCTTTATTCACTAGGTATGGTTTGGAGAAGACCTGCCTCTAAGTCCACGAAGTCCTCTGACACCCAGGCACGGACCAGGTTTGGCCGATGTCTGTCAGTATGATGAGTGGATAGCTGTGAGGCATGAGGCTACTCTGTTGCCCATGCAGGAAGATCTCTCAATCTGGCTGTCTGGCTTATTAGGTAAGACTTGGAAATAGGTCCCAGATTGATTCATCTTTCTCAGTAAATATTGATCGAGGACCTTTTTCTCAAGGAGCGATTCTAAAGGCCTGGATACCCTACTGAGTGAAATGTTCCATGAACTTGTGCTCACAGTTTACTTTCTAGTTGAGGAAATACTCTGATTCACCTCAATCCTTATGGCTTGAATAGCAAGGAAGTTTAAGATTTAGCAAAAAAGGTCAGTCAACTGGGAATACTCAACATTTTCATTGTTAATTTTAAAATCTTAGTTTTAAGAACACAGGTCTAATTTTTTGCGGGGGGTGGGGAGGGTAATATTTTACTGATTTGTCCCCTAAATCCCATGGAAGACTTGAGTTTCTGTGGGAGAATGTACCCTTTTCACTATTATGAAACATTGAGGGGTAGAAGCATTGGACAGCTTCTAATACAGTTGGATGTGTCAGTTTAGACAGCACTTGGCATCATGTTTCTTTACTCATTTAGAAATTAGGAAGCGTGAACTGTCTCTACAGAATTCTCTTTGAAATTCAGAATTTCATGTAACTTTTCAAAGTTCTTATGACAAGGAATATATAAGCTTCATCTATTTCCCAAACTAACTGAAAACATACCAAACATGTACTCTAGCTGATATAAATCAGCTGGTGTCAGTCGGCTTAATGATTTGAATGCTTTTTTAAATTTGACATATAATATACTTCTAATGAAGGCATTTTGAGGAAACAATATTCCCAGTTGTTTATATTATTGCCTTCAGTTTTTAAATTAAAGCAAAGTGCACTTTATAATATTTTTTGTGTGTAAGTAATGTTAAGAGCCTTACTCAGTAAGCAAAGTGCAAATCATAATCTTAACCGTGAATACTGAAATATTAAGCCTTTGACTTTTTCTACAGGACATTAAAATAGATGTCAGATTTTTTTTTCATTTCAGTTTTCTTTTATATTTTTGCAGCGGTTTCATTCAGTTGTCCTTAACTTGATATCTGCTTTTTGTTGTTCCTCTGCCCCCTTTTTAAATTGTAGGCACCATGATTTACAACACAGTTTTTGTTGTTGTTTTGTTTTTCTGTCACACCCAAAAATGCTCAGGGGCTACTCCTGGCTCTGCACTCAGGAATTAGTCTTGGCAGTGCTGGGGGACCTTATGGAGTGTAAGGGATCCAACCCATATTGTCTGTGCGCAAGGCAAGTGCCCTCCCTGCTGTGCTGTCTCTCCAGCTCCAGTTAACAATCCTGTTAGCGATGGGGTTTAATACATACAATACACCCTCTGCTAGAGGTTTGCTTCCCTCCAGCATTGCCTCAGGGTTTCCTGCCCCACCCCCACCCCTCAGAATTCACTGCCACAGCTCAATTTTGTAGACTAGTTTCAGGTTCTGTTGCCTTTGACTATTTAATTGTACCTTCTTCATATGAATATTTGGAGTCTGACGTAATATTTGACTACACTTAAATTTTTTTTTCAATGTTTGAGAATTAATGTATTTTTAAAAAATTTTATTAGTGAGACACCATGAGGTACAGTTGTAGACTTATAAATTTTTGTGCTTGGATTTCAATTATACAATGATCAAATACCCATCCCTCCACCAGTCTCCATTTCCCACCACCGCAGATCCCAGTATCCCTCCCACCCCCCATCCCACCCTGTCTCTGTGGCAGGACATTCCCTTTTGTTTTCTTTCTCCTCTTGGGTGCTGGACTACACTTAAATTTTCACCACACTTGAGTGTACTATATTTGGAAGCATCTAATTTTGAAATATGTATTGATATTGAAGGTATTGAAGTTAAGGCAGAAAGGTTACTGGAGGAACTTGACAATGGAGCACTATTATGCCAATTGATTGATGTTCTTCAAAACATGGTGAGAGCAGGCAATGCTGAAGAGCCAAGGGTAAGTCATTGTTTCACAGTAGTGATTGAGTTCCTTGGTACATATTCATTGGTTTATGGATCTTTCTTATCTTTTCAAGGTTGTAAACTCCTCCCTAACCATATCTGAGACCTTGATGATGTCCATAATCATTTAGGAAATGATTAAGCATCTAGGAAATAAATATTCTTGTAAAATGGAGATATTACTATTCAGCTGATAGAATGTATTGGGAAACATTTTGCCAGATTCAACAAGATAATATTTAGGTGCTGCTTAGCTTTGTGTCTAACTAACACCTAGAACAGTACTCAGAAAATACCTCTTCTTGAGAAGAATGATTGAACCTTGCTTGTAAGGGTTGTTAAGTGTGAAATGAAAAAGAGCTTGTGGTGGATCCAGTCATAAGCTATAATCATCACCATCATCATTTATATTTTTAGTATATTGGTGGCAAATCAACCAGCATCAATTAATGGAATAATTTCTTTTCCTCCATTGACCCTGAAGTCATTATTTGAGGGAAATAAGGTTTCTCCACTCTCTATTCCCATGAAACATGGGTGTTTCTATGAGTGTAAGTTTGGAACACTCAAATGGTGTTGAAAATTCAAAGTGGTACTCTTCTTCTAGAGATAGTGTATGATATATATCACATTGAAAATAAAGTGCATTTTGGGTCCATAACATAACTTTACTTCCGTGGGTTTTTTTTTTTTTTCAGAAAACAATCACACATTCACAGAAATGATTGTACAGAATATTTAAAAGAGCCTGAATGATCATCAATAAGTTGTTAAAATTATGATACCTAAATAGACTGGAATATTATTCATCTTTAGAAATGACTATTTTCATATTCTGGGTTTTTACCCTTAAAGATGCTAATCTGTCTAATCTGTCTTTAATGTGCAAGTGTACATATAAACACAAATCAACCCGCAGAATAATTTGTCTGTGTAATTCTGTTAGCACCTAAAAGTGCATACTTCTGAATAAGTTTGTAAGCAAAATAACTTTAAGCAAAATTCTGAATGCAAGAATTTCAGTTGATACAGTTTAGTTGGCTGTATTGTTTAGTTTCTTTTTAATGACTATATTCTTTTTACACTTAGAAAAATACACAAGGCTAACTTAATTCTGAAAAATAATGGCAGCAGGAAGGATATACAGGAAATGGCAGTAGTGGTTATTTCTAAGGAAGAAGAGGAACTGAGTGATAGAGGTTGTAGAAAAACATGCAATAACTGCCATTTTCACATTTTTAAAAAAGAATATGCCTATATTGCTTTATTTAGGTAAAAATTTAAACTAAAACCTCAGCTTCAACAAGATGATCCAAACACTCTTGGTCTAAATTGTCAAAAAAAACAAAACAAAAACCCAACTAGGATTCTATAAAATTTAGACAGTCGTTTTAAAAATAATTGAATTAAGAATGGACTACAGGGTGAGCTAGTATAGGGGGCAAGGCACTTGCTTGCAAGCCCCACCTGGAGCCATCCCTGAATTCAGAGCCAGGAGTTAGCCTTGAACAAAGGCTGGTCTGGCTCAAAACCCAGAGAAAAATGGACTACTCCTTTCTTGTTTGATAGATTCAAGGAACTCAGAACATTCTTATGAATCTGCATATGAGATTGTACATGTTATGGGCCTGTATATGTTAATCTTTAACAACATATGGGTGATGGACCCATGTTATCTATGGAGAGACATAACCATAGGGGCATGTTCTGTTCTGGATTTATTAGACTGGCCACTTCATTTAAGATTTTTGTGTCATGTTGGAAAGAAGGAATTATTGCCTCATCTCACTGACACTTTGGACTAGAAGTAAACGACAATTTGGTTTTGTTTTGGGGGAGTGTTCATATCTTTGGCATTGCCCAAGGATCGTTCTGGTGCTTGGGGACTATATAGGGGACCAGGGACCCAACTTGGGTTGGCTACATGCAAGGCAGACCCCTAACCTTCTGTACTATCTTTCTAAAAAAAATGAAATAAAATTAGTTATTGTTTTTGTTTTGGGGTAACAGCCAGTAGTGCTCAGTGTTTACTCCTGGCTGTGCTTAGGGATCATTCCTGGGGGACTCAGGGGACCATATTGGATGCCAGGGATTGAACTCGTGTTGGCCATGTGCAAGGCAAATGCCCTTACCTGCTCTATCATATCTCTGGTTCTATCTACATAAAAATTTTAAGATACCTTTCCATGCTAATATTGTGTATCTTTTAGTTACGTTTAAATTTTTAAAGTAATACTAAACTAATATCCACAAAAAAATACCCTTCGTGGGGCCGGAGTGATAGCACATCGGGTAGGATGTTTGCCTTGCATGCGGCCAACTCGGGTTCGATTCCCAGCATCCCATATTGTCCCCTGAGCACTGCTGGGAGTAATTCCTGAGTGCAGAGCCAGGAGTAACCCCTGTGCATCGCCAGGTGTGACCCAAAAAGCCAAAAAGAAACCCCCAAAAATGCCCTTAATTTATTTCTGAAAGTATTCTTTTGTCTTTTCCAGAATTTTCCAATGAGAAAAGTACCCTGTAAGAAAGATGCTGCCTCAGGTTCATTCTTTGCTAGAGATAATACTGCAAACTTCCTTCATTGGTGTAGGCATCTGGGTGTTGATGAGACCTACCTCTTTGAATCTGAAGGTTTAGGTAAGTGTTATTATGTCTGTGTTTAATGTTAATTAGTATGTTTTTGTGCTTTCATTCTTTTTCACTTTCTTTTGGTGCTGGGGATTAAAGCCAGGATCTTAGGTATACAAGGCAAATGTTCTACATCCACAGTCCTCACTTTGGGCCAGAGAGTTACTTCAAATGCCTGGAGCAAATGGTTGGTTTGTAGAAGGCTGTTAGGACTCCCAGTGGTCCTCTCACCCGAAGCAGTGAGCAAGAAGTGGCCTCAAACACAAAGCACTGTTCACTATCAGGTGTGGTGCAAAGAACAAGTTCCTAATTTTTCTTTCTGAACGTGGATTCAAACATCACATTTCGTTTTGCTAGGGAAAATTATGCTTTAAATATGTGAACCAGTTGGAGAATAGGACCAAATAAAAAATATTAAGATTTTAATTTATATAAGTTATATACATGTTATATAGCAAGAAATGTAAGTTGTGGAGCTTATATATTTAGAATACCGTAAGAAGTATATTACTTCCTAAATAGATTGGCTGCAGAAATGTTCTGGTCTATTGCTTCGCTAATTACTATTTTCATCAAGGATTATTCCAGCAAGTCTAAATTACTACTAATTTCTTTTTAACTAGATACTTAGGAAATAACAGAAGGCCAAATGATTTATGTTCATGGTGTTTAGCTTTACCTTATAAATAGCAGCTGTCAATTTGATTAGCTAAGTGGATTGATGTCTTTGACAATTCACTTTGAATAGTTATGCTCTACTGAAGATCTATTGATGTTTTCTCGTTTCCTTTTAGCTAGGAGTAGCATATGTGTAATGACTCAAGTGGAGGCTAAGTTTTAGACTATATAGTTTTCCTCAAAGCATTTATGTATGCTTAATACATACACACACACACACACACACACACACACACACACACACACACACACATACCTGCAGACTGCATGGTGTTATGACAGGAGGCCAAGTGTTAGGGGAGTTGAATTCTACCCTGGTAGAGTGAAGTTTTCCATCACTATCATTGCTGCTGGTTTGTGATGAGAATAAAACATATTATTAGTATTATTATTATTTTACATTTACATTTTTCTACATTTCACATGTTCCCTCGTTGTTCACCTACATGGTGGGCTGTTTTCATTACTGTTCCTTTGGTATGCCCTAGATGATCCGAGTGAGAAGAAAATTTCTAAAAATTTCTAAAATTTCTTTTCCTATAACTTTTTCCAGAGTTCTTATGAAAGTCTATCCAGTGGGAAGCATGTTCAGAAATCACTACAGTGATTTATACATACAAAGCTTATACATAAGCTTTGAACAATCAAAATTAAATACAGAAAATAATTCCATTGTCCGATACACTGTGTTTAATCTTTCCAAAGGATTACAGGGTTATTTGTATATTAATCTCCTATCCTTGCTGAACATTCTTAACCCTAAAGTATTTTTGTTGAGTCATTAGTATTTTCTATACAAAGGACCATATCCTCTGTGAATAGATACTGTTTTCCGTCTTCGCTTCCAAGATGAATGCCCCCTTCTCTGTTTCTCTTTGGGTCTATAAGTCTGTCTGCCTGTCTGCCTCTTGTGTCTCTCCTTTTCCCTCCTCTACTCCTATCCCTACCAAGATTCCCTTGTCTATGGCCTCCAGTCCAGTATTGAGAGAAGTAGCGAGCATGAACATCCCTGTGTTTTCTGTGCTCTTGGGAGGAACAGTTTTGCACTTCCGCCTTTCAGGATAATGTCAGTCCCTAAAGGTCCCTGAGCCACCACTGTGTTGGCTCTCGCTGACCCTGGACCCACAGGCCTAAGCAGTACCTTATCCTTGGACTACACTGGCAGCCCATGTGGCCTCATTTCAGCAGGAGTAACCCCTGGGCCCTTGGTAACCTTTTGGGAGCACCCCCCCCCCAACAAAAATAATGTTAGCTGTTGTTTTCCCACAGGTAGTCTTTTGTACTTATACATTTCTCTTATATTCCTACTTGATATAGGTTCCCCCCCCCAACCCCCATTTGATTTTGTCAAATACCTTTTCTATGTCTATGGGGATAATTCTGTGTTTTTTTCCCCTTTATATGTGCACAGGTTCATTTATATATTTTTCATATATAAAACATGTTTTATATATTTAACATTGCATTTCTGTGATAAATTCCATTTGCTTTAGATTCAGTCAGTATTTCACTGAGGATTTTTGCATCTATTGTCATATTGATAACACTGGTCTTTAATTTTCTTGTTGATGTCTTTCTTTGTCTGGCCTTGTTATCAGGGTAGTACAACCCTCAGAATGACTTTTGAGATCTTCCCTCCAGTTCTGTTTTTTAGGAAGATTGAGAAGGCAGTTACATATAGGTCCTAGGCTAATGATTCATTAGAATAAACGAGTCAGTGTATATCTTTGAATACTATCTCCTGTTGAGAGATTTGAAATATAAATAACTTAATGTTACTGTGTCTGTAGTGTTTTTTTTTTTTTTACTTAAAATGATATATAGGTCAAAGCTCATGATAAGTTTTCTTTTAACTAGATATGTGGAGAAAGTAAAGTCTTTTCTAAATCTGCAAGCAAATAAACCCTTCATATTTATTTTCTTTTACCACTTCATTGCCATGGGAGATCATATTTCCTCATATAATTTTGTCCCCTAAAATGTGTGGGTTTTTTTTTCCAGTTTTGCACAAAGATCCAAGACAGGTGTATCTTTGTCTTCTTGAAATCGGCCGAATTGTGTCAAGGTATGTATTGCACAGTATTTGAGGATTTCAAAATCATAAACATTTTAATCTTCTCTAAATGAAAAAATAATTCTTGGTGAAACTAAAATAACTTAATTTCCTTTGTCTTCTTTGTTTTTTTTTTTTTACTTAAACCATGTGTCAGTATCTGCTTGCTCAAAAACCATACCTTCTTTTAATATTAAAATGTAAAAGTTATTACATAAAATTTTAAGGTTAAGACTAGAGTAAGAGACCCAGAGTACAGCAGTAAGGTGCTTGTCTTCCATGGAGCTGAACCTGGTTTGAACCTTTATCTCATCTGGTCCCCCAAACACTGCCTGTCAGGAGTGATCCTTGAACACAGAGCAACCCCTGAGTACATCTATTCCCCTTCTCCATCCCCTACAACCCCTCCCCAAATAATATATATTAAGAGCTTGTGATCTTTTAGCAGGTCAAATTAGGCAAGTCCTTTGGAGACTGGAGACTCTAAACAGAAAGTCAAGGATTAGTCTTTTCCATACCTGCTTCAGTCCCATCTTTACTCCTGAGCTAACTGTAGAGACACTTTTCAGGATCCTCGGTTCAATTTCCAGTAATTAATTACCATGTTGCAAAGAATATAATCTAAATTTTTACAGTCTTTCTGACAAAACACACACACACACACACACACACATTTATAGGTGTCTCAAACATTGGTAGAAAAGAGTCATAAAGACTTTCAAAACATAACCTAACTTGATATTTAGTGATTTTGCTAAACGTTTGGGTTGAGTGTCCCTTGAATGATGAGATCTTCCTCATTGGTTTCAGATACGGAGTTGAGCCACCAGTATTAGTAAAGCTCGAGAAAGAAATAGAGCTGGAAGAGACTTTACTTAATACTTCTGGGCTTGACGATTCCATCAGTATTCCAAAATCCTGTTGTCAGCATGAGGAGTTGGATGAAGCCGTAAGTAATTGCACCATTTTCTGCTCTAAGGATGAAAGTGTCCTTGTTTGCCAAAGGTTACACTATGTTTTAAAGAAAATGTTCCCTGTTTAAATTCCTACTGGTACTAATTTCTAATCCTTGGTGCGTTCAAGTATGCTAGTCCTACGAGGGAGAGAGGATCTAGATTGATCCTCCAAAATTTTATGCAGATGGCATGCTGAGTGAGGGAGAACCTAAGAGGCAGAAGAGGCTTGAGGAGAAATTTCTGAACCTTCCCCAAGTGGTAGATAGATGCAGACTTGTTAGGTGATGGGCTTTCACTGCAAAGTCTTCTTAACTTTAGCTTTTTTTTCATTATGTAGAATAGCTCTTGCTTATGCATTGTTTTCTTCTACAATGGCTATAATATAAAAATACTGTATGGTATACAGTCATATAATAAGTGATGGGAGTGAATGGCATATCAAATATTATTCTGCTTAGATTTTTGTTTAGAATTCACAGAAGGTGCTTCATACAGAAAAATACTTAAGATAAGCTTGATTGGAAGGTTTATAAAAATTGCTTCTCTTTATAATCATTTATTTTGTTGAGTGATAAAAGAGATAAATTCTGGACCTGTTGATTGGGTGTTAGTGAATCTACATGAGATACAAACAAAATTACAAGTGTAATTTTCTGTTATTATTCAGACAAACTGGATTTATTTTATGATAAGTTAAAACATCATTCCAAAGTTCAGTTAAACAAATTTGTCTATGCTCTCACTGTTTCAAGTAGTTGAGGAGTGTATTCATGGCTGTGCTTTTTCAAAAACATAATTTTATTTATTTATTTATTTTGCTTTTTTGGGTCACACTCGGCAATGCACAGGGGTTACTCCTGGCTCTGCACTCAGGAGTTTCTCCTGGCGGTGCTCAGGGGACCATATGGGATGCTGGGAATCAAACCCCGGTCGGCCGCGTGCAAGGCAAACGTCCTACCCACTGCGCTATCTCTCCAGCCCCTAAAAAACATAAGGAAGACAAAATATTTTCCATAGTTAAACATGCAACTTTTTTTTTTATCAAACCTAACTCAACAAATAATTTTTTTTCTGTTTGAAGATAAAATTCCTACATTTCTGTACATACACTCACATATCTATAAATTTATATCTAAATCCTTTTCTTTTGAAACTACTTCTTAGATATATACTATAATTAAAAATTGTGTGATAGGGGCCAGAGCAATAGTAAAGCAGGCAGGGTGTTAGCATTGCACACGGGCAACCTTGGTTTTTGATCCCTGGCACCACATATGGTCCCCTGAGCCCACCAGGAGTTAATCTAAGGCCCAATTCGGGAGTAAACCCTGAGCATCACCAGGTGTGGTACCAATTTAAAACAAAACAAAAATTCTGTGAGTTCTGAGGGATAGGAAGTTTGGTTTTCTCCCCATCTCTGATCTCCTTGACAAATTATAGAAACAAAGTACTTTGCTAAAGGTACTCATTTTAGTGAAAAAGTGCTTTTCTAGAGGTACTCTATTAATTTTTTGATTTTTACATTTTTATCCAATTGTGTGTAACTATGAGTATATCTCTGCTAGTTCATCTTATTTTCTGGTTTTACATCACACTTTGTAGAGCTCAGGGCTTACTCCTTGCTCTGTGATCTTTTACCCAGAGATCACTCCTGGCAGAGCTCAAAGGACCATATCTGATTGAATCGGGTCAGGTGTGTGCAAAGCAAGCACCCTGCCCACTGTACTCTCTCTTTAATCCCCATCTCTGCTAATTTAATAATTTTGGAGCCAATCTAGTACTATACTTAGGGATAAGGAGGAATGCCTCTATCTGATTGGCCTCTCTTTGATTTACTCAAACTCTGATGTATTGATCCTGGGTTTAAATCAGTTCACACTTGATCAGCACTGAGTTCATGCATTTCCCAGAATTTCCCACATGTGTAACCTGAGGGGCCCCCACCCAGTGTTCACTGAGGCCACCGCAGCCTGGGGTTACTGAGAGAGAGAAACTTAGCAATGCCCTGATGCCAGTTTTTATATCAGTTAGCTAACTTCTGGCCTAGTGTTGGTCTGCAAGTAAAGAAGATACACTAAGTATGTAACTGCCTTTAAATTTTTATCTTAGAGATTGATTTTACCAGGTGTCAAATAACTGAACATTTTAACATTTATAATGCTTCTTGTAACAAGCACTGAATTTCATTACTTGATTTTAATCTTAGGTTAAACATATTGCTGAAGACCCTCCTTGTAGTTGTTCTCATCGATTTTCTATTGAGTACTTATCTGAAGGACGGTACCGACTAGGGGATAAAATACTCTTCATACGAGTAAGTCCATCATCATTTGTATCCTGTCACTTACAGATCTTGTTCCAAAGTTGAATTTATTGGTTTACGAGCCTCCTTTTCTCCCTTTGTAGTTTTTAAAAAATTAAATAGAGGGCATTCTTAATGGAAAAATCTTACTATACAGAAAAATATGGAATGTTTTAATTTTCATGATTATAGCAACAGTTTAAGTAAATATCTTTAGCACAGCATATAACTACATGATAGTTCTGCTAAAGGTGTTCACCTAAGTTATTTGCACTTGCATATAATTGGGGGGAAGTTTTCATGTAATTCAGCAAGCATTTCATTTTTCAAATTTGCTGAAAAAGAATACTCTTCCAAAATAATAAGAAAAAAATTATATTGCATCTAATACAACTGAATATTTATATTAAGTAAGACAGTGGGGTGGGGTGGACAGGAAGATGGTGCAGATGTGAAGGCACTCACTTTACTTGTAGCTGACCCTGGTTCTGTCCCTGGTACTACATGGTACCATGAGCACAGAACCCAGAGAAGCTCCTGAGCGCTGCCTGGTGTAGCCCTAACTTGCCACTCCCCCTAGAAAGAAGAAGAGAAGAGATGGAGATATTGCAGTTAGTAATAATGTATTTTGGTTTATTGGCACAGCATTATTATATTTGCCTGTATCATACATGTGTTTTTCCTTTCTTTATCCTATCTACAATGCACAATTAATTGATTGCCTCTTTGATGCTATGAAGATTGAAATTTAACCATTTTCAGTATTCTGTCCACTTCCGATAGGAGCTAATTTGAAAAATAGCGTAAAGTTATTTAAAAGTGTAATTTCAGGCCAAGGGATACTACAGCAATAGATTCAGTTCAATTTCTGGCACCTTGTGGCCCCCAAACATTGTCAGGTGCATCCCTGAAGCTCCCTAGCACCAGTGGCCCAAGTATCCCTGGCCCTGTGCATCCAGTCAGGATCACATCCTCAGGACCCTGTGCTGAACTGACGGCTAATAATTGCTGCTGGGATTCCCCAACCTCCAAAGCACTATGTGGGAGACCCCCCAAAAATAATAATTTCACTATCTAAATTTTCTCTTTATTTCATATATTATTTTAGCTCTCATACATACTCCCACAGAAAAACCTGGATGCACTCCTTTTTAAATCAATGTACCGTGCTTTACAATACTGTTAACGACAGTTTTATGCACCACGTCCACCAACAGAGTACCCACTTCCCTCCACCCATGTTCCAGGGGCCTCTCTCACCCACCTTCCATTTTTCCTCCTCTCCCTCTGCGCCCCACATAGATGAGCTCAGTTCTGTAGACTAACTCTTCAGTTCTGTTGCCTTTGGTCTCTTATGGCTCTTTTTTATTATGTATCTTTTTTATTTTTCAGAGATTCTCTTTTTTAATTGGTATACTTTTTTTAAAAAATTGCTTTTGGTATGGTGATAACACACAGAGCATGGATGCCAAGTTAACCTGCAATCTTGTACAGTTGCGCAGGTTTCCTGCTGAATGGACAGGGGCCTGCAGTCCAGCACGAGCTGCACTGGCAGGCCAAATGGTGGCATTGCCTCACCAAGGCACTGTTGGGGTTGGTGCAGCCTGGTGCATTTGAGACCCGAGAAGCCTGTGTAATTCAGCACATCTTTACTCTCATAGAGCCATATTTTTCTCATCTGCAAAGAAGAGTAAATACATTATATCAAAGTTTTAGAAAGATTAGATATGGTACATATGAAATTAATTTATTCAGTTGTAGTATGTTTTAGTCATTTTTATCTTCCGTAATTCTTTTCTCTATTACAAGACACTTCCCTCTAAGTTCCCAATTTTTCTTTTCTCCCTCTCGTCCTCTCTCTACTCTTCTCATTCTTCTGTATTCAATTCTTTATTGAACAGCATTACCTTTGCAACTTTTGTAAATTAGTTATTTGATTCATTTTTTGGATGCAAATTATGTGTAAATATCTTTCTTAGAAATCGGAGGACTGTGCATTCTTGGTATCATAATTCAGTATGAACTAAATCTATTATTTTCATAGTACAAGAGGGTGACTTAGTTCCTAATGAACCTGTTGACAAATACTATGAATTTCAAAGATCACAGACATCACAAAAATGTCACTGCTAATGAATTGTAAGTGTGAACCGTACAGTTTTACAGCTCTATCTCTTGTTTTCTTTTGGGGAAAAGATGCTCCATGGAAAGCACGTCATGGTCCGTGTTGGTGGAGGCTGGGATACTCTTCAAGGATTTTTGCTTAAATATGACCCCTGCCGAATTTTACAGTTTGCCACACTGGAACAGAAGATTCTAGCATTTCAGAAAGGTGTTTCTAATGAAAGTGTTCCTGATACATCTGGCAGAACACCTCAGCCTCCTGAAATGAATCCTTTGTCAGCAGTTAACATGTTTCAGAAACAAAAATTAAGACCTGGCACACCGGTTAGCACTGCGAGGAGTAAAGAAAAGCAGGACCATCCTCCAGATGCATTACCTTCCTCTTCCTTGAAAGGGGCTCATCCGAGCTCCCCGGCAGTGCGTTCTAAATTGCCAAATTCTCCAGCAGCAGCATCGCATCTCCAACTTAAATCTTCAAAAGGCATAACCAAGACACCACACGCGCCTTCAAACAATGCCCCTTTAAATCCAGTAGGAAAAAGCACATCTTCACCAGCTTTACCGAGACCTGCCCCTTGTGTATCTGAGTCCTTGAGAAAATGTATCTCCTCACCCCATACTCCTAAAGCCAAACTTATTCCAACCCAGAATTCAAGAGCTTTGCCCAAGCCTGGACTGTCAGCAAGCAAATGTCCCGGGAAAACGGAACCAAAGCTTTTGAAGCACAATCATGTTTCTTCCAGGGAGACTGCAGGATCTCACTCCACTGCACATTTAAATTCATCGCCACAGTGTCCAAAGCTTCCTAAAGGAAACATACATGTGAGACCTAAACCATCTGCTTCTTTCCAGTCTCCTGCAAAAATCACAAAATCCAGCTCCAAAGCCATGGCCACGGGTCTCCAAGCTCCATCTCAGCCCACCGACGGAGCCCTGCAGGCAGGGGTGGCACCAGCACAGACGCTTAAGTCGGTCTCGAATTTAAGCAAGCCCCTCCCTGGACCATCGGTTTCTTCAGCAAAGGCTGCACAGGGATCAAGGGAGAAGGGTACGGTGTCAGTGGTCAAAAAGAAGCCCCAGACTAAAAGCTCCGTCCCCAAGACAGGAGCCGGCTCCTCCCGGTCACCCGGCCGCACTCCACTGTCCGTTGTGAGTCTTCCTCAGTCTTCTGCCAAGACCCCACCTGTGCAGAGGCCCACGGCACAGACTGCGGCCAAGGGCCCGCGCTCAGCTCACGGGCCTCCACACAGGGCCAGAGCCCCTGCTGCAACCAGGAAACCGCCTTCCCCAGGGCCGGAAGCAGGGGTTGACAAAAAGGCTACGGCAAAGAAAAAGGATGATGATGACCATTATTTTGTTATGACTGGAAGTAAGAAACCCAGGAAATAAGTGTAAATGTTTCATTTTAAGAACATGGAGGCAAGGAAGAGTGAATGTGTTAGCTCCTAATTCTCCCCTTTGTGTTTTTATAAAGATAGATGCTGCAGTTAAGTACTGTCAGATGGGGTGGGAATTAGAGTGAGGAGAGGGCTTTTCAGAATTTATTGGATACCCTTCTAAGCAGATTGCTATGAGATCCCCACAGGGTTCTGATTGACAAAAGATATTGATAGACTTTGGTCCTTGGCATCTTTGCTAATGTCTGTCTTTTAAGGGAAATGCAAGTCAAATAACACTACTAGACTCATCCATGGAGTTGGTATATTTTAATATCTGTTAAGTATGGAATTTATATCCCTGTTAATGGTAACATTGGTGCTCTTGGTATTATTTCTTTTAATGGAAAAAAAATCAACGGTTTCGCACTTATTTTATAAAGGCACTGAGTTAAATTTCCTCATCAGGGTCCCCTGATCTAATAATACTAAGTACCAGTGGCTGCTTCTGCTTTGCTTGGTGTTACTCTGGGTTTAGTAAACTATTTAAATTTCTTTAAGTTTTTCAAATCAGAAGGGACTGATACTTTTAACTGGCATATATTAACTGTAATATTTTATTGCCAACGATTTTGTAAATGAAAGTAAGATAATGTATTGAAATATAAGCTGAATTTTAGTATTTTTTAAAAATGCAAGTCTTTCCATGAATTATTTATAAACTTTGTACCTTATATTTTAGATGGATGTTGTGCAATGTGAAAAAAGGTAAACTTTTAGTAGCATTTTTAGCAAATAAATATTTTAATAATTAATTTTTCTCTAAGCACATATTTGAATTATCATGCTCAAATAATGTTTTTTAACATCACAATTACATTTTAACTAATCTTGAAATTAAGGTAGTGTTAAAGAATCTTAAAGTGGGGCTCAGTGGTAGACCACCTACCTTGCATGTGTGAGGCCCTTGGGTTTCATCCTTCACACTGCAAAAAAAAAAAAAAAAAGAGAAAGAAAGAAAGAAATTCTAAAGTGGTGCTAAGTAAAAATTCTGCCATATGATTGTTACTTTTCTTTAGATATCACAATACTAGTTTTAGTTCAGGTCTTCAGTTATTTCAGTTATTTGTTTTTTAAGCTCATGCTGCCTTTAGTTTTCCACTGACAAGTGTACCATAGGAACACAGCATTTCCTGCTCCATTGGCTTTCTTCAAGATTCGGATCATGGAATATGGAATAACTGCACAGACTCCATTGCTCTAAAATAGGTTTAATAATCTGTGTTTTTAGAAACTTTAACTATTTAAAACATTTAAATATTCTTTTTTATAAGTTTTCATGGGATGCAGTAACTTAATGTTATGTTGCCACGGGTTCTTATAGTAAACATTTAAGTCTGTGGTCCCTATTTTAAGCTTTTTGAAAGAAAAAGAATGGTTTACACAAATGTGCAATCATAGAAACTAAGCATCTTAATTTGATACTGTTTCATAGGTTTTAAACTAAGAACACTTTGTATAGTATTAGGTGATCTTTTGCGTAAGGAGTACAGTTAAAATCAAAGATAGGTGCAGGTTATGGGGAATAATTGTTGATTTCTTCTTGAAAGAGACAGTCGCCAAATATTCGGTTTATTTCTACTACTATTTGGATAACAAAAGAGACAATGTCAACATCTTTTGGGAAGTGAAGTCAATATCAAAGAAGTGCTAGATGTATTTTAGTGCTGGATGCTTTTTACCGAATATCAAAAATGTATCTTTCAAAGAGGAAAAAATTTTACCTACAAGCTAGATTTTGAAGACCAAATGATAGTTCAGTATTAATAACTTTTAGAATTTAAATACAGAAGTTAGTAATATAATGGTCAGCCTTTGAATCCACTTGATTTTACAACATGTGAATAGTAACTTTGTGTTGGGAGTTATTAGGAATCCCATAGACATCCGAAACAAAGCACAAAAATGGTTTCCCTTTTTGAAAAATTAGAATTTATAATTTGTGTCATCATCTTTTTGAGTTATATTCATGTTGAAAAAATTTTTATTTATATATAGCTATACCTACCAAAAAAGGAGGCTTTTTATGTGTAAACTGTGGCTGAAAAGCACTTTCTTCAAATGTATTTAGATATAATTTTTAAAAATTATTAATTCTAATCATTTTAAAATGTTAAATATACCTTTTATGTTATCAATGTTGGAAATATTTTTAAAATTGTGTAAGATTTTTAAAGATTTTTTTGCTTAATATTAATACACAATTTTTGGTGTATAACATATTGTGTGAATATTAAGTTTAAATTACTAGTACTCAGAGGAAGAAATAATCGGTACAAAAGAATGGAGTAAGGTCTTATTTTTCTTTGTAATAATTTGTTAGGGTGACTAATATGTCAAATTAGTCTTCATAATAAAATAAAATGATGGTCATTTTTTATAGTGCTTGAATTTACAGTAGAAAATTAAGGTTCATATTTTCAGAATGCTTGATAAAATAGATCTGGCCTCTAACTTTGCTCTCTTAATAGGCAAGGGAAATATTTTGGGAAAGTTACTGTTTCTTCTGCAATCTGTTTAGTTGTATCTGATTTTAAAATATGTTACCTCTTTAAGAGACTTCAGTAACCAACTGTTAGGATTAATTTTATATCCAGGTTACATGTGGGTCCAGTTGAATACATATTTGTATATATTCATTTCTTGTATCAGCAGTATTTGTATTAGATTTTAACTTTCATTTTTCTCAAGCATTAGACTTTAATTGTATATGCCAAGTTCCCAGTTTGCTTTTTTGTGTTTTCTGAATAATGCTGATAATTTGGTTCATATGAGAAATTGTAAGATGAAACAATCATAATTTGAGAATAGTTTCACAATTTTTTGTTAAACATGCCCTTTTTCTCTCTTTAAAAATTTAATTACTATAGTTTAGGTTGCATATTTATAATAGGGTTTTCCCTTTTTATATTTTTGAATTTATTTTATGGTTCCTGCAGAATTAGAGGACTCTGCTTTTAACCAACCAGTTGTTGTACAGTTTGTGGTTGTATTTACCGAGTTTGTCTCAATAAGACTGAAAACATATTTCATCATCTCTTAGATAGTAGAAATAATTGTTGTTTATTAAAGCAGAATTCTATAGATCATGTGTTCACAGAAGGTAGAAATTCCCAGGTCCTGTAATTCTTAGCAGTTTCACACGTTGATACAGTGAGAATACTTTTGAAATACTCATTTTTCCCTATATTCATGATTGGAAAAATTATTAAAAGTACCTAATTCAACATTCATTTCCTTTGATGTTTCTTTTTTTATGCTTTATTTAAACACCATGGTTTACAAAGTTGTTTATAATATACTTGTTTCTGCATTCAGTGTTTCTGCACCAATCCCATCACCAGTGTAACTTTTCCTTCACTATTCTCTCCAAGGGCTGGAGCGATAGCACAGCGGGTAGGGCGTCTGCCTTGCACGCAGCCAACATGGCTGACCCGAGTTCGATTCCTCCGCCCCTCTCGGAGAGCCCGGCAAGCTACCGAGAGTATTCAATATGCCAGACACAGTAACAACAAAGTCTCCAATGGAGACATTACTGGGCCTGCTCGAGCAAATCGATGATCAACGGGAGGGCCTTTTACTTTATTCTCTCCAAATTGTCTCCCACCCCCTAAACTTATCCCCTTAGCAGGCATAAAGTAATTTATTTTATATTGCTTGCTACAACTAAATAACTAATGGAATTATTTAAAAATACTTCAGTAAAAATAATTTTGTGAGAATTGTTAAATCTAAGTGGGATCATTAATTGTTCTCTGTGGGCTTACTAAACTGTTGTTAGTTAAGCCTTCTGTGTTACTGTTTTGTTTATTGAGCTTGGTTGACTTCTATGCTACCTTCCCTTTTAATTTGGCATCCTCCTACTGGACTTTGTGTATTGTGGAATTTGGAGGTGTCATGTGGCCAAATATGCAGCCTCCAGCTCCAGGAGCTCCAGGATCTGTAGAACTGGACTGATGAGTTAGTTACGTGGCAGATGTGGGATGTGGGTGTGGCTTCTGGTGTTTCTGGAAGTCTGGGTGATGGGGGTGGCACCTGCTCCACTCTGAGAAGACCCAGAGTTTTCAGCCCTAAAATTGGTGTGCCTGGAATTTTCATCAGCTTGGCATCTCTGCAGAGATGAACATGAAGCAGTGAAGTTGGGCTGTTGGTGGGGGGCAGCTGTTCGATATAGGTCTCCTTTAATGTTTCTTAAAACCACACAAGATGTAAATTATGTATTCATGAAATTCTGAAAGTTGAATTCACTTCAACACTAGGAAATCTTGGAGAATATTAGGAAACATGAAATTAGTAAACAAAGTAGAATGAATTAATGCTGGGCAGGACTGGTGAGGTCCTCTAGTAGTCACATGCCACAGTATTAAAACACTGCAGCTACCCAAATCACCAGCAATATCTAGGGATTTAGAGGAGGGGCAGGAATAAGAGAGTCTGCATCCAAGAGTCTTGGTTTATTATATATAACACTTCAAATCACATTATTCTTTAGGTGTCTGAACTAGTCAATGAGATGAACATTTTCTTCATTAAATTCAAGTATCATAATAAAGACAGTAATTGAATCTGTTTTATTTATCATTGTTTTACCAAAGTCTAACATGATGTTTGACATATAGTGAGCATTAAACAAATAACTGATAGTAATCAATGAGAGAACTTTTTGTAAGAGGGCTATAAGGAAACCGAGTCTCAAGAAAATTGACAGTGGCAAATAAAATTAAGATTAATTGCATTTTCATTTTTTTTTATTTGTTGGGGGAAGCAGGACCAAACTTAGTGGTGCTAGGGAATTACTTCTGGCTCTGTGCTCATGGATCATTCTTGGCAGTGCTGGGGATCCAGTTGGGGTCATGTGTATGCAAGACATGATCACGATCATCCTGTTGTTCATCGATTTCCTCAAGCAGGCACCAGTAATGTCTCCTTTGTCCTAGCCCTTGAGATTTTAGAAAGTGCCATATTCAAGGCTCTTTCAGGGTCAGGAGAATGAGACCCATCATTGTTACTGGTTTTTGGCATATTGAGTATGTCACAGGTAGTTTGCCAGACTCTGCTGTGCGGGCAGGATGCTTTCGGTAGCCTGCTGGGTCCTCCAGAGTAAGAA